TGAAAAGAAAAATCAATCAAGCAATAAGAAAAAATTGACTGAAAGTGAAATCATTGCTAATTCAATTTTCTTTTTGATCGCTGGTTTTGAAACAACATCTTCGACTATTTCACATTGTCTTTTTCAATTAGCATGGCATCCAGAAATTCAACAACGTGTCTATGAAGAATTAAAAGAAAATTTATCTGATTTAGATTACAATTCAAAGGAATATTATGATCAAGTTATGCTTTATCTACCATATTTTCAAGCTGTTGTAAAAGAAACATTGCGTTATTATCCACCAGTTACTATTTTAGCACGAAGGGTTACTGTTGATGAAACTAAATTAAATGATATACCATTAAAACGTGGAACAATTATCCGTATTCCTACGCATGCTATTCATCATTGTGAAGATTATTATCCAGATCCAGAACGATTTGATCCTGAACGTTTTATGCCTGAAAATAAGGATAAACTTGTACCATACACATATATGCCTTTTGGTCTTGGACCTAGAAATTGTATCGGTATGCGTTTTGCATATCAAGAAGTTCGATTAGCATTATCACGAATTATAATGACATATCGTTTTGAAACGATTCCCGGTGTAACACAAAAAGTGTTATCATTCGGACCACGTACACCATTGTTATCAACATCACCATTTAAATTGAAAATTACAAAACGATGATTCAAAATTATAAACATTCTTTTCATTTAAATCGTTGAAAATTTTATTTTTGTGTAATTGATTAAATAAGATATTTCAAAAATTTCCAATTAATTAATTGATTATTTTGTGAATATTTTGAAAAAAATGTTTGTCAAGATTTTCATTAAAGTAAAAACATTTTCTTTTTGTTTTGTTTTGTTTTTTCGTAGTTCGCATATTGAATTATTCATTTGTCTCTGTTGAACAAAGATACATGTCATTGTTATTATTGATTATTATTCAATTTCCGAACGAATCTAATTGTTTTTTTTACACGACTAAATGATATGTTGATTTTTGTTTCATTGTTGTTATCACGTCTTTAACATAAAAACAACAAAAAAAAATATTCATTCTTTTCGAATCGATCGGAATTTGCAAACGCACACATTGCGATAACAACGATTTTCTGTTTTGTAACTAAAAACAAATTGACAACAGCAAAATACTAAATAGAATGGTTACAAATTTTTTTATTTCATGACCGAAAAAAAAGACTTGTTGATAATTATTTTTTTACGAAAATAAAACTTTATTAATAATAATATTGATAATTTTTTGAAAAAAATGTTTATAAATAAAAATTTCCAGAAAAAATACAATAAAATTGATTAACATACACCAAAGATAAAGAAAAATTATTAATTTCATTTCGATTAATGATAAAGATGATGCAGTTAATGAATCATCATGATGATTACGTTTATTTGATTGAATTTCATTATTTAAACTTTCATCATCATCATCACCTTCATCATTATCATTATGATTGTTATCATAATCATTATGTGTATCAATCAATAATTGAATCGGTTCATAAAGATTTCGTACACGAATTAATTCTAGATACATCCATCGTTTTAATAGACCAGCTCCTTGTATATGCATTATTCTATAATGAAAGAAAAGAAAAACAGAAATAGAAAAAGAATGTTATCTTTTCTATGTTAAGAATTTCAATCACATACAATTCATTAAATGGTTTACGATCATATTCAAATGATAATCGTACCGGTATTGAAACCAATAATGGATAGAATGAAGATGTTTCATCATCTGGTGGCATATAAATCGAACCATCACCCAATAGAAAACGAAAATATCTTAATGTTTCACGAGCAGTAATCATTGCAAATCTATTATTATTTTCCATAGAATTTGATGCAATTTTTCGTAATTCTTCTTCCGTATTGTTTACCAATTGTACATTACGCCATATTGTTTGCATTACATCAATTTCAGAACTCTATCAAAGAAAAGAAAAAACAAAATGATTTTCATTAATTGAATTTGGTGAATTAAAAAAATACTAACATTAAAACGGCGAACTGTATTTTTGTTTCCTTGAATTAACGGTATAATATTATGTGATTCACATTCTTCGGCCAATCTATAAATACTTGTTATACCAGTATTTATTGGTATAGTTAATATTGATGAAATAAAACCACCATAAAATGTTGTCAATATTAATGCAGAAATTGTCCAAAGAATAACACATATTTTCATTGATGTATTAAAAAAACGTAACCAATGATATTGTTGACGAAATAATAGACTAAGATTAATCCAAAATAAATTCATTTCAATATATCGTCCATGTATTTGTATTGGTTTTAATAAACTAGTTTTAAATTGATTTAAAATAATAAACATAATGAATATGATGATTAATAGAAACCAAATTTGATATGAAAATGGTTTCAATAAAAGATCATATGTAACATGATTTTTTTCCGGCCACCGTGTACCAAATGTAATATAATCAATCCAATGTGTAAAGAAAAAATGCATTCGTAAATATCTATAATCAGTCATAACAATACCACCGATATTAAAATCAGTTTTATTTTCGTTCAACATTCGAAACATTTCATGTGTATTTGCACAAGGTATATATTGAATAGTGAAATTGAAATATTTGGCCATTGTATTGATAATTTCCGGTTCAAAACCAATTGGTTCGGATAAACCTTGTGTCGATGTATAAGGTGGATCCTGTTCAAAACAAACAAACAAACAAAATCCAATGTTTAAAATATAATAAAGGGTTTTTGTTTTGATCTTTTGATAAAACTTACCGCAAAAAAACCAATACGAATAATTTGTTGTTGTAAATTTAATCTCATTGTTATTGACTTTGAATATAAACTTTAACCAAAAAAAAAAAAAAAAAAAAATGAATGAATATGAGAAATTTTTTTTTTGTTACCTGTCATTCATTTGCTATTGAATAAACTAAACTAAATGAAAAGAAAAATTGGATCGATTTCTATCAAACACTAATTACCATTTTTACATTTTCATAAGAATTATAATGTATACCGAAGTTAATAAATAATTATCGATTATTATTAATTTGAAATTTGGTGATATTGGTGTTTATTTTCATTTTCCATGGAGAAATCAAAACCTGGAGGGGTATTTTTTCCTGTTAATTGTTTTTTTTATTATTGAAAAATTGTTTATTTTAATACATTTTTTTGATGATGATGATGATAAAAATATGAAAAATATTCAATGAAAAATATTGCCATACAAAATGTTAAACACCAAAAATGTAGATGAAAAATTATAACCAATTGTTCATTTGTAAATTGATGTGATGGATTTTGTTGTACATTAATATCATTATCGATAAATTGATAATCATAATCAATATATTGTTTTGAAATCATTATAAATTCTTTTCCTGATAAACGAACATGAAATTCATCATTTAACCATTTTTTCAATAAACCTGAACATTGTAGATGAAATATTCTGTAAAAAAAAATAAAAATGAAAAATAAAAAACAAAGTTAATTTTTACAATAATAAACATATTTTACACCTACAATATATTGAATGATTCGATATGTTCAAATGTTTTTCTTATTGGAATCGATACAAAAAATGGATAAAATGATGATTCTAATTGTTCGGGTGGTAAATATAACAAATTTTTTCCATATTTAAATTGATAATATTGTAATGGATATCTTGATGTAATTAATGAGAATTTTTTTCCATTTGAATTCTGTTCAAAAATCATTTGTATTCCTTGTTCCGTATTGACAATTTGTTGAGTTTTTTGCCATATCATTTGAAAATCATTTCGATCAGACATCTATGAGAAAAAAATATAAAACAAAAAATTCTCTAATTGAATAAAAAAATTCAAGTGTTTGACGTACAGAAAATATTTTGATGGCACTTGTATTGGCCTGTATTAATGGTATAATATTCTGTGCATAACATTCATCAGCTAAACGTTGAATTGTATCGATACAATTATTATTTGGTATGGACAATGTTGATGTTAGAAAACCGGCATACAATGTTGATAGTATCAATGCTGATATAGCCCAACATAACATCATAATTTTTATTGATAAATTTGTTGATTGTAATCGATAATATGGTTGACGAAAAAATAAACCAATACCAATCCATAGATCATCATGATAATCATCAACAAAAGATTGTTGTTGTTGTTGTTTACATTTGATCATTAAATTTATACGAATTTGTTTTATCAGATAAAATAATAACAAAATGAATAATATCATTAGCCATACTTGACCGGTGAATGGTGTTATCAATAGATAATAATTAATCTGTGTTTGGTAATCTTGATTGGTTATAAATGTAAGATGATCCATTTGATATGTATAAAGATATCTGATAATTGAATTTCGTTCATAGCTCATCATAACACCACCAATACCAAAATCAATTTGTTCATTTTCTAACATTCCCATCATACCATTAAATGAACCATTCGATAATCGATTTCCATAATTATTTTTACAATCAATAAATTTTATTGTAAAATTAAAATATTTGGCCATTGTACGAATAATTTTCGGTTCAATACCATACAATCGATTGATTGATGATTGTATCAATGTATATGGTGGATCCTAAATTTGTTGAGAAAAAGAAAATTAATTGAATTTAAATTCAAACAAAAAAAAATTCATTAAATTTTCAAAACATACATTATTATATCCACTTTTTAAAAGTTTTCCATCCAAATTCAATCGCATATTGTTGTGAAATGAAATTTTTATTGGTTTTTTTTTCTGACGAAAAACTTTAATCATCTATTCCAAATATATTCTGATTTGATTTTTTTTTCATTATTGTTTCATCGATATCCGAAATGAATCTTTTTTTTTCGTTGAAAGAAAGAAAAAACTTCGATTCTTTTGACACCATTAACATGAAAAAAAAATCATTAAAAAATACATTAATTATACGTCAATGACTAATGGAAAAAAAATTCAATCGATTATTTGGATCGATAAAAAAGAGTTTTTTTCTAATTGAAAAATGTAAAACGAAAATCCCTTTCAAACATAACCGCGTTCGGTAATTCTATTTGATTCTTGACAAAAAAAATTTCATTTTTATAAAACATTATAATTGTAAATCACGAATAATAGATGGCAGCATAACTTATTTTTTTGAAAAATATTATTTTTTTATTTATTTTGATTGATAATTAAATTTTGTTATTGGTGTAGAAATGGATTGGTTATTTTTGCTTATAAATATTGTAAAAATATGGAAAAAATTTTTAAATTTTAAAATTTCAACAATACACATCATTATTGAAATTGTTGTAAATGCTAGATACATTTTGAATAATATTTGTAAATGTACAGATGATGTACGAATAATATCGATTGAATAATCTCCATCTCCATGATTATCATTTTGATGATGATCATCATCATGATTAATCTGTTTGATAACCATCCTGGCATTCGTTTGTTTCTGGTCAAGCCAATGTTTTATTAATCCAGCTGATCTATAAGATAAAATTCTAATAATGAAAACAGACAAAAATAAAAATGAAAAGAAAATTTTCAAATCTTCAAAAATATTGAATCTTTAAATGAATTTTTTTTTGTTTACATTTTATCAAAGTATTTGATATATTGAAAATCATTTCGAACAGGAAATGAAATCCATGTCATTAAGATGGATGATTCTTGATTATCTGGTGGTATATAAAAACGACCAATAACATTTTGATGATATTCAATTGTTTTCCTATAGGAAATAACAGCATATTGTATTGAATTTGGTTCATGGTTCATTTGTATTATAAGCCGATTTAATGCCTGTTCATCATCATCACTATATTCCATACAATCATATAATGTTGGAAATGTTTCCTAAAAATCAATTATAATAAAAATCCAGTATTTAATCAAAATAATAATAATAATAACATTGAATTATTTTTAGAATTCTAAACATTATTTTACCAGAAAAATTTCTTCAATACTTGTATGTTGTTGAGCAATTACAATGATTTTATTTTGTTGACAATTTTTCATTAATTTTTCAACACTATCGATTGCAATTCTTGTTGGTATTGTTAATGTTGCAAATAATGATACACCATATAGAATATGTATTACAATACTGGTCATAATCCATATGATTATACAGAATTTTTCCAAATTTTTCATATGTTTTAATTGTTGATATGGTTGTGATAATAATAAACTAATGGCAACCCATACAATATTTGCTCGATGATAATTGATTTTTTTACCCGTTCTGTTTGTCATTATTATTAATGAATCATCATCATCATCATCATATCCGAAATAAATTTTAAGCTCTTGAAATATAATAAATAATATTAATGATAATAATAGACAAAGCCAAACTTGTGTTGAAAATGGTTGAATAAGTAGATTAAAATTTATACCCGTTTTTGGAAATATTGTTGCAAATGTAAGCTGATCAGATGTATATGGATAAAGAAAATTTAATGAATTAAAACGTTCATAGGTCATCATTATACCACCGATACCAATATCGATTTCCTATTCAGAAAAACAAAAAATATGATTGTAATTAATTAATTAATTAAACTGTCATTCATTCATTCATTAATCTAATCTAATAGAAAAAAAACTTACATTATTAATTAATTTACCTATCATACCTGTCCATGTTTTATTTGTTAATTTTGAACCAAATATACCATCACAATCGACAAGATTAATTGTAAAATTAAATTGCATACTAATCAATTTAATCATTGTTAAATCGATTCCTGCTAATCTATTATTATCCATAATAGTATATGGTGGATCCTATTCGATCGAGGATTATTTTAATTTATAATGTTCAAAAATAAAAAACTGGATGAAGGAAAAAAACTTACATTATTAATACCTATTCTTAGTGTTTGATTCTGAAGATTTAACAATGATGATGATGATGATGATGCCATTCAATTTTCGACCATAACAACAACAACAACGAAAATATGAATGAATAAAAAAGAAATAAAGAGAAATTTTTTGCAATCGTATGATATTTTTTCAATGTCATTAATCGTTTTTGGATATGATCGAATGATTTTTTTTCCGAATAAATTTATCGAACATTTTGATTTGTTTTTTCCACATTTTTTTACCGGTTCCTCACAATGTATCAATAAAAATGGAACGAGATTTCATTTTCGTTTTTGTTACAATCAGTCATCTAGTAGTAGTAATTTTCTCCATGTTATATAACTAGCTTTTATTACTCTATACATGTAATATGAAGAATTTCGGGTTTATTTTTTTGCAATCCGGGATATTCTCATCATTGATTGATTTTCTTTTCTTTTTTTTCCATTTGTTGTCTCCAACGTCATCATAATTAATGTGTTACAAGCCAGCGAAAAAATAAAAATAAAATTAATTACCGATTTTCTATTTGGTTGTTATGAAATTTTGGTCAGCAATGTGCTGCCCTTTAATATTTACTAAATTTATCATTGAATTTTGTAGAAAAGAACAAAGATTCTTTCAAATCATCAGCCTGAATGATATTTTAATCAGAAACATTGAGAATTCAAAATTCAAGTTGTCTTCTTTTTACCATTATTTTTGATTACTTTTCGATTCGATTTTGTTTCTGCAAACATCAGCTCAATTTTGAGATTAATTTCTGCCCATCATTTTCTTCTTCGTTTTTTACATATTTCCAATATCGAAATGATCTTTTGGGAATTTGGAATCTGTTTCGATCATCATCATCATGATCGATTTTCAAACAAAAAATTGATTATAAAAATGGTAAAATATTTATTTCTTGCGCACATCAGTAGATTCGTATAGTTTCAAATTTTTTTCCTTGTTTGGCTTCAATCATATTGATAAATCAAATGAATATTTCATATTTTTCTTGAATCGAATGGTAAAAGTGACGGGAAAACATCCAACAAAAAAATGATCATTGAAGCTGAAAAAACAACTTTTTTTTTCTTTTTTTTTGGTTAGTTTGCAAATGAAACAAAAATCAATTATTTATTTAAATCTTGAATTTTTTTTCCTTAAAATCACATAGAAAATTTCAACAATGATCATCCATTCGAATGTGAAAAAAGTCTGAAACCTGAAATCCATATATTCATATCTTTCTTTCTTTTAAAGAATTTATTTATCTTAATTCAATTTGACATTCTTATCAATATTTTTTGTTACCTTCAAGTATTCACTTGGAAATTTATTCAACCAAAAAAATCGAAAAGAAGAAGAAAACCTTATTTTCAATAACATAATGTAAACATTATGTTATTACATCTTTATTTGCAAAAAAAATATGAATTCCAAATTCAACAAACCAAGAAAAAAATATGGGTTAATTTTGTTTTGGTGTTTGAATGAATGGAAAAACATGATGATGAAAAAAAATATGAAAATTCAAATGAAAATAAAAACATTTTGACTGGTTTGAGTAATTTTATTATCATCATTCAAACCCACACACACACAAACACACAAAAACCCGCAATTTTATATTGAATTTGATTGAATTCAGAATGAATGAATTCATTGATGACAACGACAACAAAAAAATTCATTATTTGCTTTACATCCATGTTATTTTTTTTCCTTTTCTCTTTTTGTTTGCACTAATCAAACAGTAACATTTATTGTTATGTAATGTATTGAATGAATGAAGAATCCAAAAAAAACGAATGATGTCATTCATGTTTGTCGTAATGGTCATTGCAATTTCATTTTAATTTATAAATGATAACTAAAAACCTATATAACCGATCTATTTTCGGTGTCCATCTCTCTCTCTCTCTCTCTCTCTCTCTCTCTCTCTCTCTCTCTATCTCAACACGCAGATGGTCGAATCACATGATAGAATCTCATGTTGTTTCGTTTGATTTTGTTTCGACCATGTTACCTGGTTTTGGAAATTAATTTGAATTTTCTTTTTTCTTTTTTTTCATTTCATCCATTCAATTTGAAAAGAATTTATAATTTATTGAAATTTTACAATTTAATTTTTTCTGATTGAAAAATGTATCCCGGGAAACATCAAACAAGAGCAAAAAATTTTATGTATTTTTCAATGGTTTTTATCCAATCCATAAAATTTCCATATTGATTTCCATACTTTTACAATGATTCACCACCATTCACAATAAAATGTGGTTTATAAAAGAAAAATTCAAGCCAAAATACATGATGAAGATGATAATATTATCTCTTTTTACAAACCAAACAAAAAAATTTAAATTTTGAAATAATTTATTGATCCAAATTGAATGAAATTATTTTATTTTTGAAGAAGAAAAAAATTCTTCTTTATCTTTTTTGCTTACAATGGTTTTTTTTTCTTCTGAAATTCTTTTTTCTGTTGTCAAGTGTCAATATTGTGAAGTGTTTTATTCAATTGTTAAATTCTGTGATTTGATTTTGTTCACTTGAAAAAAAAATTTCATTAAATCAAATTTGATTTGGATTTTTTTGTTGTAGTATTTGAATTGGGTATGGATCCGAAAGAATGTTGAATGAGACAAGAGAAAATTTCATATGATAAATTATTCGGAAAATTTTGGGGAAAAAAAAGAATTTTTATCAAAGGGAAAAAAATTTTGAAGAATTTCTTTTAAACAAAAAAAAACAAATGATTGGCACTGGATAATTTTCACTGGTCAACAATATCAATGATGATGATAATGATGGTGGTGGTTGGTATGATGGTTGGATGTTTGTTTGATGTTGGGCAAGTAACAAAATCGAACAGAATGGCGAAAATAAAACAGATTTAAATCTTGATGATGATGTAACAGAGAAACAATGTTCTTGATGAACAATGAGACAAAAAAAAGTGAAAAAGAAGATCAAGATGTGTAAAAGAACAACAACAACAAATTGATCGAGAGAAAAAAAAGAGAATATTTTTGTTTGTTTGTTTGTTTGTTTTTCATCATAATCTATATCCAAAAAAAAAACAAAGAAATGTTGTTGACAGTTTTTTTCGGTTGTTGTTATTGATGCTGTCAATCTAAGATTTTCATCAAGAATATTCAATGTATTCGGTAATTCATTTTATAAGAAAGAAGAAATAACAAATAATAATATGTTATTGTTGAATGGGTGAGATGTGGGGGTGTTTTACGTGGTTTGTATCGATTATCCGAACAGAAAATGTTATCATCATCATCATCATTATTTGGAGAAAAAAAATTATCATCACAAAAAAAAAATTATACAAAATTCCTGTAATATCCAGTGTGTGTGTAATGTCTTATTATTGTAATGTTGTAGATTGTGATTGATTTTGTTGTTGTTGTTGTTGTTGTTGTTGTTGTTCGTGATTATGTTCTGTACAATAATGATGATATGATGTTGTTTTACAATGATGATGATGATGACGTGTTTCATTATTAAATGTTTGATTATCTTCTTTTGTTCTAGTACAAATACATGCATGTCTTACAATACGACGTATTGCATTCCGTGTACGTGTTAACCATGAACAATTATTCTGTACCATTGAACGTTGACTAAATGTTGATAATTTTGATATTGATTCTGGTTCATCTGATTTTACAAAAAATTAATTAAATTTTGTAAAATCACACGATGAAGAAGAAGAGAAAATAGAGAAAAGCAAAAATAAAATCATTATTAATGATGAAATTTCAAAGGAAAGCACATTAAAATTCAAGTGTTAATTGAAAAAATATTTCAGTTTAATTATAATTTTAACTGGAATTTCTGTTTTAAAAAACTGTTTTTGTTCCACAAAATAAAATTCAAACAAAAATCCAACAACAAACAACTTACGTTTTAAATGTTTATTATTTTTAATATCATCATTTAAACGTCGTACAGCTTGATTAATGATATCCGATACGATATGTTTAGATAATTCTTGTGCTTGTTCTAGATCAATTTCCTTTTTTGTTGTTGTTGTTGTTGTTCGGTTATTATGGAACAAATGTTTTGGAAAAAAGAGAAAAATTTTTTAAAAATGAAAACCTAATCTTTTGGAAAAAAATTCCTTACCGATTCAGGTGTTGTTGCACAATCAACTTGATTTGCTGTTATCATCATTTGTTGTTTTTGTTGCTGTTTTCTTGTTGTTTGATCATTATTTTTACCAATTTCAATATTTTTATTATCATTTTGATTTAATATTTGTTTATTTTGTTCAGCATTCAAATCATCATCATTATCGTCGATAAATTGTATCGATTTTTTTGTTGATAATTCTTTTGGCTTTTGTTTATTATGTTTATCATCATTATCATTATTTAAAAGTGGATCAATATTATCATCTTCTGTACCACCACTACTACTACTAGTCATCACTTGTTGTCGTTGTTGTTGTTGTTCATCTTGTGAATCAATTGCTTTAACTTTAAATTTAAATTTACGTTTTTGTGGTGTTGGTAATTCAAAGCTCGATTCTTCTACAGGACTTGGTGTACGTGTACCAGCCAGATCAATCTGTATTTCTGGTGTTATCTTTATTTTAAAACGAAAAAAAACGAAAAAAATCGATCAATCAAAAAAAAATATTTAAATGTCAAAACCATAGTCGAATACAAAGAATGAAAAACAAAATCGGACATGTTTATCATGTTTTACACCGACTCCCCTTTCCAAAGAAAATGACCAGATGACCAAACAAGAATTGATCCATAGTAAAATCAATATTAACAAATGAAAATTCGCATCACGTTCATCACGCGCTCACACACACATATTCAATATGAATCGATATAACATATGAATCCATATATGTCACACGTCAAATAAATAAAATTGCTACATGTTTTTTTGCTATTCTGTTGAATAAGAATGGATTATATATTTTTGTGATTATTAATGATTTTTGTCCAGATCAAATCATCATCACATCCTGAAAATAACATTAATGTTCATTATGGTATTTGAATGAATAAATTTTTCATTTCAAAACAAAATAACTCAATTCAAATGAATGTATCAGATCAATTGAATCAATCAATCAATCAATTAAATAAAGAAAAAAATGTTGATACAAAAAAAGGAAAGAATTATTTTCAGGTTTTTGAAAATTTAATTTGTCCATTATCATTAACGAAATGATCAGGAGATATGAAATGTTCTTCTTTCTTTTTTTGTCTCATTCATTCGTTTGTTGATAATGTGGTTTTCATGTTTTTTTTTCATTTCGGGTTACATCAACCGAAATGAATTTTTTCTCCGATTGATGAAACCATAAATAAAACAACAAACAAACATGAACAGCTTGAAAAATGATTATCAACATCTGTTTTTATTTTTTTCGTTTACAAAAAAAAATTGAAACGAAAGAAAACGAAAAACGGAGGAATAAGGTAGGAAAAAAAAAGTTTTCGGAAATATTTTTTTTTTCATCAAATATCCGATTTATGGAAAATTTTCTTGCAATTGATTTTTTATCGAACAAAAAAATGAAATTCTTCCATTTAAAAATGAAAAATGATGCTCACCCAAAATTCACAAATAACGATTTTTCCTTTCTTTCTTTCCTTACCAAAAAAAAAAATTCTTCCATTGAAATTGTTCATCACCATCATCATAATTATTTCAAATTGACTTTTTTTTCACTGAAAATTCTAAACTTTTTTTTTCCCTGATATAACGAACAAAATAATAATGAGTAACTATCATCATCATTTGACGCAGGAGATGGTTCCATAAGTATGTCACACACACACACACAAATTGTGTTGCCCAGTAACTAACGAACCTACCGAACAAAATCCTCTTCATTTTCTCATTCATTTTTGCAAATAATAAAAGAATGTCGTATTTAGATGATGATAATTCAGTGAATAATAAAAAGAAAGAAAAGAAAGAAAGAAATCATTTCATCATTCAATAGAAAGAATGTATGTAATAAAATTGAATGAAGTAAAAAAAAATTGGAAAGTTTCTTCTTCATGAAATGAAGAAGAAAATGAAATGTCTTTCCATTAATATTATTATTATTATGGTTGATACAAAATGTATGTTGAAAGCTTTGAAACAAAACCAAAACAAAAAAGAAGAAAAACTATTACATTTTTTTTTCTTCTATTCATTTGCTTGTTGTTTCTGGATCAATGTAAAGAATCAAAAGAAGAAAAAAAAATATATTTTTTTTTTTGCAATAAGAATCGAAAATTCTAAGAAATTCAATAAAAAAAATTGTTATAATGTATATGTGTGTACCGAAAAATGATAAAGAAGAAGATTTTCAATCATCATTTTTACAATGAATAATGTAATTTGATCGTCTTTTATAATGAATTATATTAACAAGAAAGAAGTTTTCAACAAAAAAAAAGAAGAAAATTCATCTGAAAAATTTCATATAGAAATAATATTGAAAAAAACAAACATACCTCATTATTATCATTGATTGCATTTGCATTCGTATTCGATGTTATTGTTTTTTTATCATCAAATTGAACAAAATCCGAACATTTATTCTTAAATGATTGATTGATTTGTTGATTTTTTGTCATCATTATCTGTGATGGTCTTGTTGTTGTTGTTGTCGATGATGAACGATGATCATGATCATCATTGTTGTAAGAATCACATGAATTTTTATCATAATGATTTTGATGATTTTGATTATTATTATTAAAAGATTTTATTATCTGATTATCATCATTATGATTTGTATTTGTAATGAATGCTAATTTTTGACTTGCTTTTACAATTGCTTTAGCCATTAATGTATCAACTAATGTTGATGCCATTTGACGGCATACATCTTCATGATGATCATGATCATTATGATGATTATGATTATGATGATTCTGGTGACTATCGCCAAACATAATTTAATTTTTCTTTTTCTTATTCTTATTATTTGAATTTGATAAAAGATGAAATTATATTGATGTTATGAACGAAGCTTAAGAAGAAGCTGTTTTTTTTTATTTAGTTTTTTTTCTATTTCCGTGTAATTAGAGCATCATTCATTATTGCTGATGATGAGGATAATGATGATGTCATTGATAAATGATGATGATTATAATAATAAATGTTATTACATAAGAAAATTATTTTGACACTAAACACCCGCACATATTTATATAAACACGAAACATTTTATCATTACAATAATTACAATAACAAACATGATGATGACGTTGATGAATTGATATATTTTTTCGAAACAAATTTTTTTCCCCCGATCCAAATTGATAATCATTATTTTTCGAGAGGAGAAGAAAACAAACAAACAAAATTAATTAATTAATTTTATCAGATCGATCAAAGCAAAAAACAGAAATTAACAACAACAGAAAACAAACAAACAAACGAAAAGAGTTACGCGCATTGATAATTATTTATCAATTCTGACCATTTTGCAAAATAAAATAAAGATTCCAACAAAAAAAAATCAAGTACCATTATTACGATGAATATTATTTATAATTGAATAAAATTAATTCAATTATAAAAACACCCACATGATAATGATAATGGATTCTTTTTTTTTAAGCTGAACAAAACATAAACAGAAATGGAAAATTGAAAAAAAATGATGATAATAATAATAATTTTGTGGAGAAAAAAAACTTGCGAAAGTAAAAGTAAAACCTGTGTTTGTTCATTAATTTACGTCAACAAGAGAGAGAGTGAGAGAGAAAAAGAATCAACAACAAGGGAAAAAATGAAAACCAGATAATATTATTAAGTTTTCTAAGTAAATAAATAATGATGATGATGATGATGAAACTTTGCATGTATAAATATTAGCATAATTTCATATTTTTTCAAATTCATAAAGAATATTCTTTTTAATATAAGAATTATTATTATTTTTTCAGACTATTTCATTATTCGGTTGGTTTATTTTCATCATGTTTTAATCGTTAAACTTTAATTTTTGTTTGTTTGTTTGTTATTTGCATAATTGAAAATTAGTTTTTTTTATTTCTCAAATAAAATGCAAAAAGAGTTCCAGTTGTTTATTTTTTGGAAGTTTTTTTTCGGGTGATGTGATTAGAATGAATTTTTCTTTTTTGGGATTAAGTTATTTACTTTTTTTGTTTCATTCTTTAATAAAATTAAATATTCAGTCACGTTGTTTTTTTAATAGTTATTTTTCAATGTATTTTCAAAACAAAAAAAATGTTTATCAATCAAGAATTTTGTTTTTTTAAAGTAAACACACCTTTAGTTATTATAAGGTAAATAAAGTGAAAATAATCAAACATTGAAAGAATTTGCGTAATCATTTAGCCTATCGCAGTATTGTTGATAAATAATGATGAAGGTGGTGATTACCGATTACCGGATTGCGGTAATAATTTATGTCAAAACGAGCAAGATAAAGAAAGAGAGAGAGAGAGAGAGAGAGAGAGAAATTCCGCCCATATAATGAATAAAGTCTCAAGTTTTGTTTTTTAATACTTCAATTAATATTCTATTCTCGTTTTTTATTTACCGGATATTTATCGTTTCCGATTTTATTTCCTAGAAATTACCTGACTGAGACAATTCAATTGGGTTTCTTTCTTTCTTTTTTTTCTTTGTTTTGTTTGAAAAAAAAGTAGTTTAATGGCCGAAAATAAAAAAATTTCCAACAAAAAATAAAAAACGAATGAAAAATTCTGTTTGAAAATAGCAAGAATTTTTTTGTTTTGTTTTCCCATACATTTCTGACAGTGAAATAAATATTCAGCGCAAGAAAAACTTTTGGAAAAGTTAAATTTTTTGTTGTTGTTGTTATTGTTGCTAGGTCTTTATATGTAATCCACCCACATTAGCTATCAATGATGGACCATATTTATTTGTAGACAAAATAAATTTTGGATGAAATTTGAAATTCTTTATGTTATTCTTAATGTAACAAATGGAACATTTATCTTGTCTTTCTCTCTGTGTGTTGAAGATTGCGATTTATTTGCTAAATTTTTTCAAGAAAATAAGAAAAAGAAAAATCAACAATAACCGCCATCATCTATCTATCTACAGTGAAAATTGTTGTTATATTATGTTTACTCAATTGCGTTTATAATTCTCTGAAGATTTTCTTTCAAATTCTTTACAATATCTTTTTATTTTTTGATTGGTTTTTTTTTGGCTGGATAAAACTTTCAACTTGATTGAACACAAGAATAATTGTGTGTGTGTGTGTGTGTGTTTTAGTGGACAGGAAAGATAGATTTAGAATTATCGTACCATCATCATCATCATCGGGTATTAAAGACAACAACAATGTCGAGAGAGAAAACAAAATCGGACATTAATCAGGAATATCAGGTTTTGTTGAAATTCTTTCGTGTTTTTTTATTTATTTATTTGCTTAATGAAATTGGTTGAAAATTTTGTTGTTGTTGTTGTTGTTCCGGAAAAAAATTTTCCTTTAAACTACACATGACATGAAGAGAATAGATAGATTTTCAGGTATTTCAGATTCTATATAATAATGTTTATGTCTTTATTTATGTCACTCATATATGAACAAATGTCAAATTGACGCACCTTTTTTTCTCCCCCCAAAAAAAAGAAAGTTAAGCTTATTATTATTATTATTATTATTTGATAAATTGATTTTCTGTCATCATTATCATCGTCATCCGCATGAAATCATTCAACCAAAATTCAATATTTATTTTATTTTTTTAAGAAAAAAAATAAATTTTTCAAAATAAAATACAAACTGAAATAGACATTTGATGGAGAGAGTAAGTTCTCTATTTGTATTACTTTTCACTTTTCAACTGTATCAAACATTTATTTGATTTATGGAAGCAAAAAAATTTCCAGTGAATCATAAGATTAAGAAGAAGAAAAAAAAACGGAAATCAATATCCAAAAATCTTGTAGCAGAGAAAAAAATGTCATTTTTATTGAATTAAAATTTTATTATTTTCATTTTTTTTCTGGATTCTTTGATTCCATTCAAAAAAAAGAAGAATTTCGACTGAATCATCATGCTGAAAAAATAAATAATCAGGTTACAACTAATCAACTTTACTTTACTCATATTTATAGGAATATATAAATGTAGTTTCTCTCTCTCTCTCTCTCTCTCTGACAATCAATATTGATTGAAAATTCAAAATGTATTTTCGATTCTAGAATTCTGATTCTGTTATATCTAATAATAATAATAATAATAACAATAACAATAATGATGATGAAGATGATCGGCAAAGTAAAAAAAAAAGATAGATAGAAAATGATGGAATAATATAGAAATTCTTATCACGAAATACTACTGATGTTCTCATTTTATGATGAGAAAAAAAATCAAACTGTAGAATATGAAAGAAAATGAAAATGATAATAACAAAATGATAATAAATTGGCATCTGATACACACAAACATAGACACAAATGTTGATGCTTATAAAGACTACAACATTTTGATTCTCAATGGAACTCATTAAATGCAAAACAAGACTTATAACAACATCATTATTTTTTGTTTTGTCCGCAAAAAAAATTGATTTCATTTTTTATTTTTATTTCTTTGAAATGAAAAATCTTTGAACAAATCCATCAACAACAACAAGTAGCAGATGTAATTAATAGACACATGGATTTTTCGGATTTTAAAATTGTAAATTTCAAATTTTTAAACTTACAATAAGCAAAATTTTAAAATAAAAATCACAAAAATATCGGCTTTTTTCTTTATTTGGATAAGATCGATGATTTAAATTTGGTTAAATCAATTTTTCACATTTTAATGATGAAATAAACAAACAGAAACAAAATCGATAAAATCGATTACGAAAAAAAATAACCAACACAATAATAGACAATGTGTGTAAAACGGGAGACCACGGTAAGAAATGAAGCTAAATTTTCAACAAATAATAAAGCATTCTGAACAAAATCAAATATAGATACAAGGAGCCAGAACAAAACACAGCAGATCATCACAACCAACAACCACCATACATTCAATGATGATTTTGATTTGTATGAATTTTTTTTTCTCGTTTATTTTCACAATTGGCAATTGCGCGCACCCCACATATGCACAAGCACACACACACACACACACCTTATTCTGGTTTTAATATGGCAATAAAATGTATGGATGATGCCCTGAATAACGGTAACGGTGAAACGGAAGAACGGAGAAAATGTTCCATCATCATCATCATCAATGAACGAATGAACGAATGAAACCAACCACCACCTCTACCATAAATCTAGAAGCATGAATAAAGATAAATTCTATGTTTCATGGAACTTATGAATTGATATATATAAATGAATGAATGAAAAAAAGAGAAGATGGAATATTGAACAAATAAAACCATAATCATCAACACCCATTCACCTTTTTTTTCGATGATCATTCAATATTCTAAACTGAACAGAATTTTTTCTTTTCTTTTTTTTGAAAATTCTGAAAAATAAAATTTGTAGTGGTAAAAAAGAATTATGGTCAAAAAAAAGTAGTAGTATATTTTGGATGTTTGATTTTGGCTTCACAAAAATCAAACACATAGATAAAGAAAAAAAAATCATCATCATTTTCGTGAATCAAACAAACAAAAACAAAATATTTGTCGTTGTGTCACTGATCAGATCAATGAATTTGATGTTTGATAAAAGAATAAGAAGAAGAAGAAGAAGAAGACGAAAATTCAAACAGAATTTGTTTATTTTTCTTTACTATTTCTAGATTGTTGCCATGTTTTATTCTTCTTCTTCTTCTTTTCGGTTTTGTCCATTGGTTATTTTTTCGATGAGCAAACTCTCATCACAATGAATTTTTTTTTGTTGGTCTCACTTTCTCGATTCAGTTGTTCATCTTGATTGTTGTTGGTCATTGTTTTAATCATCCAGAAAATAATATTTA